GACTTCTTGTACACCATGGACCCTTCTATGCAATGGGCACCACAGCAAAGGCACACAGTGAAAGAAGGGTTGGTACCATATGAAAATATTTTCAGATGTTTCTAGAGACGTGTATAGTTAATAAACTTATCTGTTGTGCACTTATGTTGAGTGTCTTCATATGAAAATCTAACAACCGTACAGCAAGAAATGTATGGGACATTGTGTCATGGCCATTATCATTGTCTACGTGTAGAACATCATGCGTAAGTCTTGAAGGGAAGTGGTTAGCCTGTCCTTACACAGGAATAAGGTGAGTGACATTTCATACACAATAATGTTTTAGTCTTCTTACTGTTTTCTAACTTTGTTTTCAAAGGATTGCATTAACATACAGTATGCCTCTCATGATTGGAGAAACGTATCAGCCTATCATCACAAGTGAGTGGCTTCTTAAAAAAAACTAACAACGGTTTCAATATTGTATTATGAATATGACTGGAATATTTCATGCCATAAAAATTTTATGACAATTCATTCATTAGTGTGCAGGCTAGTCTACCATGTAGCACTTGCATCATTTCCACTAGGCTACCATAAAGCAATCCCATTGTTGCTTCTACATTATCAATGCAGGAATTGTCATACCTGTAAAAAGGTATGAATTTCTTTTTCACATTATCTTTTCATTTCTCATGTCTGATGTTAGTAATATATATAACATCCATACTATCCTTTTTGTTTGTTTTGTTTTTCAAATGTCTCTTTACTTTTGAGAGAGAGAGAGAGAGAGAGAGAGAGAGAGAGAGAGAGACAGTACGAGCAGGGGAGAGGCAGCAAGAGAGGGGGACAGAGTTTCCAAAGTGGACTCTATGCTGACAGCAGAGAACCTGATGCGAGGCTTGAACTCACAAATTGTGAGATCATGACCTGAGCCGAATTCAGACACTTAACTGACTGAGCCACCCAGGCTATAGCCCAATGTCTATACTGTTTTATATCATAGCAGACAGTATTGATGGAGCTGCTCACAGATGATTCATCTTGGAAACATAATATAAAACTTCTAATATTGATAAATAAATATGGTACTGTATTTTCTGTTTATGATTTTTCTTAGTAATGTTTTCTTTTTTCTATCTTACTTTAAGAATACAGTAAATTATACATATAACATACAATATATGTGTTAATTGACTCTTTATGTTATCAGTAAGGCTTCTGGTCAAGAGTAAGCTATTAGTAATTCAGTTTTGGAGGACTCAAAAGTTACATATGGATTTTCAACTGCACAGGAAGTCAGTACCCCTAACCCACATGTTGTTCAAGGATCAAGTGTGTTTGTAATATATGAGAAGTGATGAATTAAAATGTGATTTTGTAAGTTTCAAAAGCATGGAATGAAGCAAATTATTAAAGAGTAAAATACTTCAATTAACCATGCTAATTATTATCTGCCCAATGTGTATCGTAGTGGGGCTGATAATTTCAAAGTCCCTGGAATGTTCTGGATTTGGTGAAAGATGACCAGATCATTTATAATTTAATTTTTCTTCCAGTGAAATGTTTTCCTTTAAACCAAAGCTTTTATATATATATATATATATATATATATATATATATATATATATATATTTATATATATTGAGGTGTCATAGACACATAAAATTATACCAGTTTCAGATGAAAACAAAATGATTTGATATTTATATACACTGTGAAATAATTACCACAATGAGTCTAGTTTTCCCCGTCACCATAAAAAGTTACATAATACGCAGTACAATATCGTTGGCTATAGTCATCTCGCTATGTTGCCTCCACATAGTCATCATGCTTTGTGTTACCTCTGCATGACTTACTTATCTTAGACTGGAAGTTTGTACCTCTTGACTCCTTTCTCCCATTACACCCACCTCCAAACCCCTCCACTGTGGCAATCACCAATTTGTTCTCTGCATCTATGACTTTTGATTGGCTTGTTCACGTGTGTGTGTGTGTGTGTGTGTGTGTGTGTGTGTGTTAGATATCACATATAAGTGAAATCGTATGGTATTTATCTTTCTCTGTGTGACACTTCATTGAATATAATGCCCTCAAGTTCTTTCCATGTTGTTACAAATAGCAAGATTTCATTCTTTTTTTATGGCTGAGTAGTATTCGTGTGTGTGCGTGTGTGTGCATGTGTGTGTGTGTGCCACATTTTTAATGTATTCATTTATTGATGGACATTTAGGTTGCTTCCGTGTTTTGGCTATTGTAAATAATGGTGCAGTAGACATAGGGCACATATATCTTTCTGACTTTGTGATTTTGTTTTCTTTGGGTAAATACCAAGAAATGGAATTGCTGGATGATATGGCAGTTTGTTATTAGAATTTTATTTATTTTTATTTATGTTCAACTTAGTTAACATACTGTGTAGTCTTGGCTTCAGGAGTAGAACCCAGTGCTTCCTCTCTTACATTTGACACCCAGGGCTCATCCCAACAAGTGCCCTCCTTCATGCCCATCACCCATTTAGCCCATATTATTAGTATTTTTGAGAAACTTCCATACAGTTTTCCACAGCATCTGAGCCAATTTAAATTCCCACTTACATGCACAGAAGTCCCTTTTTCTCCACATCCTCACCAACACTTACTGTTTGTCTTTTTGATAATAGCCTTTGTGATGGGAGTGAGGTGATATCTCACTGTGGTTTGGGTTTGCATATCCCTGATGATGAGTGTTCTTGAGCATCTTTTCATGTGTCTGTTGGCCATCTGAATGTCTTTGGGAAAATGTCTATTCAGATCCCGTGCCCATTTTCTAATTGAATTTTTTATATAGAGTTGTATGAGGTTTTTAAATATATTGTGAATAATAAGCGTTTTTTTAATATATGATTTGCAAATATCTTCTTCCATTATGTAGGTTACCTTTTTCTTTTGTTGATGGTTTCATTTGCTATACAGAAGCTTTTTAATATAGTTCCATTTGTTAATTTTTGCTTTTGTTGCCATGGCTTTGGTGTCAAATCCAAAGAATTGTTACCAAGACTGATGTCAAGGAGCCCATGGCCCATGTTTTCTACTAGGAGTTTTATGTTTTCAGGACTTAAATACAAGTCTTTAATCCATTTTGAGTTGATTTTTGTGTGTAGTGTAAGATTGTGGTCCAAGAGTGTTTGGGTGGCTGAGTCAGTTGCACATCTGATTTTGGCTCAGGTCATGATCTCATGGTTCATGAGTTCTAGCCCCACATCAGGCTCTGTGCTGACAGATCGGTGCCTGGAGCCTGCTTTGGATTCTATGTCTCCCGCTATTTCTGCCCCTCCCCCCTCACGCTCTTTCTCTGTCTTTCTCTCTCAAAAATAAATAAACATAAAGAAAGAGAGTGATCCAGTTTCATTCTTTTACAAGGGGTTGTCCATTTTTCCCTATACCGTCTACATCTGTACTTGTTGTATGTTCTTGCCTCCTTTGTTGTCACTTAATTGAATGTATACACATGGGTTTATTTTTGGAGTCTCTATTCTGTTCCATTGGTCTGTCTGTTTTTATGCCATTCCTATACTGTTGTGGTAACTAGAGCTAGGTAAAATGGTTTGAAATCAAGGAGCATGATACCTCCAGGTTTGTCCTTCTGTCTCCAGATTGTTTTAACTATATGAGATCTTTTGTGTTTGCATATACATTTTAGGAATTGTTTGTACTATTTCTGTGAAAAATGTCTTTGGAATTTCGAGAGGGATTATACTGAATCTGCAGATTGCTTTGGGTAGTGGGGACATTCTAACAGTAGTCTTCCAGTGCATGAGCACAAATATATTTCCATTTGTTTCTGTCTTCTTTAATTTATTTTATCAGTGTCTTGTAGTTTTCAGTATATAAGTATTTTACCTCCTTGGTTAAATATATTTCTAGTTATTTCATTGTTTTTGATGCAATTGTAAATGAGATTGTTTTATTAATTTCTCTTTCTGGTGGTTTGCTATTAGTGTATAAAATGCAACAGATTTTTGTATATTGATTTTTTATCTTGCAACTTTGCTGAATTTGTTTATTCTCAACAGTTTTTGGTAGAGTCTGTGGGGTTTTCTACATATAAAATCATGTTGATTATGAATAGTAAGAGCTTTACTTCTGCCTTTCCATTTTAGATTACTTTTATTTCTTTTTCTTGCCTAATTGCTCTGACTAGGACTTCCAATATTATGTTTAATAAAAGTGGAAAGAGTAGACATTCTTGTGTTATTTCTGATCTTAGAGAAAAACCTTTTAGCTGTTCACTGTTAAGTATGATCTTAGCTGTGGGCTTGCCATATATGGCCTTTATTATGTTGAGATAGATTCTTCTTTATTTAAATTCAAGTCAGTTAACATGCAGTATAGTCTTGGCTTCAGGAGAAGAACCCATTGATTCCTCTCTGACATGTGACACCCAGTGCTCATCCCAACAAGTGCCCTCCCTAATGCCCGTCACCCATTTGACCCATCCCCACTACCCAGCTCCCTTCCAGCATCCCTCAGCTTGTTCTCTGTATTTAAGAGTCTCTTATGGTTTGCCTTCCTCTCTGTTTTTATCTCATTTATATACTTTCTTTGTTGAGAGTTTTGTCATAAATGCATGTTGAATTTTATTAAATGCTTTTTCTGCATCTATTCAGGTGATCATATGATTTTTATCCTTCTTTTTTTTTTTTTAACGTGGTGTATCATGTTGATGGATTTCACATGTTGAACCACACTTGCATCTCCAGAATGAATCCCACTTGATGATGGTATATGATCGTTCTAACATAGTGTTGAATTCCGTGTGGTAATTTTTTTTTTTTTTGAGAATTTTTACGTAATGTTGATCAGGGGTATTAGTCTGTAGTTTTTTTTTCTGGGATGTCTTTGTCTGATTTTGGTATCATGCTGACCTCATAAAATGAGTCTGGAAGTATTTACTTCTCTTTAGGATTTTTTGGACAAGTTTGAGAATAGTTGAGGAAGGAGGGTCCCCGGGAAGGCTGAGTCCCTGGCTACAGAGCTATGGACCACAGGAGGATGGAGCCCTTCTCTTCCTGTGTGATGTTGATCATGGCCATTTCCAAAGCCTTTGAACTGGAATTAGTTACTGGTTTGGGCTACCATGAATTTGCACGTCCCTCTCAGGGAGACATGGCCTTAAGAAATGACAGTATTCTGTCACCGGAGGACAGGTCATCTGCCATTCATCAGTGGCCTTTCCAGTTTGTGCTGTCCATAGGAATCCAGGACACTCAGTTGCCACTGCTCTCTGAATGGAGGAGCCTACATGCTTTGGTCCATCTGTGCCTGCCCTTCCTCTATCTATGGCCGGGACTGTGAGCATGATTTGCATAAAGAGAACTGTGAGTCTGTGCCCAATGACATCTGGCTGACCAAGAAATGTTCCACGTGTAAATGCTGGCCTGGGCAGTTTCACTGCTTCCCTCAGACATTTCCACCAGGGTGTGGTAAGCGGATAATCCCTTCTTTTGCCCTTTTAGATGGCCACACGATGGATGAGCACTTCCTGGTTTCCAGGACTCCAGAATTAACACTGTCTTCAGCCAACTTTTTTGCTAGCTGGCATCTGCCTTGCTGTGCAGAGTTACTACTAATGAACACTCGCATGCACGATTGGTCGTGCAGATTTCATGACCCGCAAGGGCTGTCACTCCAGTGTCCAACTGAGAGATGATCATTTGTTAGTTGCTTTGAAATAGTGCATAGACTTTCATAATGGTCCCTAACATTTCCTTCAAATACCAACTACTTTCCTCTCCCTGCCCTCTCCAAAAAACTCCTTTAAGAAAAAGTCGGGGCGCCTGGGTGGCTTAGTCGGTTAAGCGTCTGACTTTCGCTTAGGTCGTGATCTCGCGGTTCGTGGATTCGAGCCCCGCGTCGGGCTCTGCGCTGACTGCCAGCTCAGAGCCTGGAGCCTATTTCAGAGTCTGTGTCTCCCTCTCTCTCTGACCCTCCCTGCTCATGCTCTCTCTCTCTCTCTTAGAAATAAATAAAAATATAAAAAAAAAAGAAAAGAAAAAGTCAGCCATATCTACATGTGAATAAGTTCTGTGTTTCTGATACAAGTATTTCTACCAAGGGTTTCTTCTTCTTCTTTTCCTTTAAACAACTGAATTCTGGAGCGCCTGGGTGGCTCAGTTGGTTGAGCGTCTGACTTCGGCTCAGGTCATGATCTCACGGTTCGTGGGTTCGAGCCCCGTGTCGGGCTCTGTGCTGACAGCTAGCTCAGAGCCTGGAGGCTGTTTCAGATTCTGTGTCTCCCTCTCTCTCTGACCCTCCCCTGCTCATGCTGTCTCTCTCAGAAACAAATAAAACATTAAAAAAAAAAAACTGAATTCTGTCTTCAGATTATTAAAGCCTATCCCTCATGTGGAAATGAGGACAAAGCTTCGAGTAGAGTTGGTCAAAATCAACTAGGTCCTCATCCTTTAAAGGAAAGTAAAGGAAGTCCCTTAAAGGGGCAGGGGACAGCTATTAGAGGTAAGGAACAGGATGCTGACGTATTAGAGGAGTGTGTGTGTGTGTGTGTGTGTGTGTGTGTGTGTGTGTGTGTGTGTGTACCAAGGAGAATAGATAGAAAAAAGGAAGAAAATGGGAGAGATGACTGAAAAAAAAAAATAGATTACTTAGTTGGTGATTAGATAGGCATAAGGAGCAAGTTAAAAGGCTAAGTTGAAAGGCAAGCTTCTATCATGTATAGAGAGCTGTGGAGGACAAGGACGTCCTTTTTTTTTTTTTTCTCAGTGCACTGTGAAAAGGATGAAGTCTCTTTGAAAAATTATTCTAAATTTCCCCAAGAAGAGAGCTTAATAAATTATGTCTTCTCCGTACTTTGAAAGTATTTTAACTGTTGTCAAAGGGAAAATATCCACAATGTATTTAGTTGTAAAACAGGTGATAAAACTATGGATTGTAAAACCCATGTTTAAAATACATTGTGTATATGTGTATGCCCAGTAAAAATGGGAAATATATTGAAACAAAAAGAAGCTTGAGACGAACAGATATTAAATCTTTCAGTGTTTAGTAGAAATCACCATGGAAGCTGTCTGGTCCTGGACTTTTGTTTGTTAGTAGTTGATTACTGACTCAATCTTGTGCTGATGATTGGTCTATTCAGATTTTCTCTTTCTTCATCATTCAGTCTGGGAAGATTGTGTATTTCTAGGAATTTGCCCTTCCTGCAGCAGGCCCAGGGGACTCTTCGGACCTGAGTGCACCTGCTCACCGGGTTTAGCAGGGCACAGCTTCAGAGAAGCACAGGGGCAGTGCAAGCAGGGGTAGCAAGGGACAGGGAGAGTGTGAAAATGGCGTCTACTATCACCTCCACCCCTGGCATGAGCCCCAGTAGACCCCTGCCACTCAGCAGCGGCTTTAGCTTAGCCAATGAATAGCCTTCGCATATGGTCTAGGCACTTTTCAGCCTGCTATTTTATGCAGGGATCCCTGGGCAAGTGAGTTTGCATGCAAGCCCTTTAAGAGCACAGTCTCAGTTCCCTACAGCCCTTTGGATCTTCTAGAGGTAAGGCCCATTGGTTTTCACAGCCAGATATTTGAGGGGCTTGTCTCTCCAGTGCAGGTCCAAGGATTGCGATGCCTGACATGGGGCTCAAACCCCTTCGTTCTCAGGCATACATTCCACATTTGTAAGATACCTCCCACTTCTGGGTAGGCCTTTAGCAATACCAAGTCTTTGCCTCTCCTGCCTGTCTCAAGGTGGCCTTTTAATCCTTTGCTGTGGAAGAGCTGTTTAGATCCTCCTCAGGTCTTTTGCAGAGAGAATTATTCCAGATGTTGCTATAGTTTGGGTGTGTTCATGGGAGGAAGCAAGTTTCAGGGCCTTCCTGCGCCACCATGTGGAACCACCCCTTCTCCAAGTGAAATTTACAACTTCCCTGATCAGAAAACTGTTGACACTTGAGCAGATGTGTTTCAAGAAATCATTGAAACATCAGAAGAGATTGGGTTTTTTACAGGGTTGCAGAAAAGCATTTAGCTAGTAGGCTGGTAAAATAGTGACATCTTGTGGTAAGAATTAGCAACAAATCCCAAAAGGTCAGAGAAGTGAAGACTGGGAAGCCAAGTAAAATGGGGGAAAAAAAAACAACCAAACACACACACACACACACACACACACACACACACACACACATCTGTATTAAATCTTTGTTTTTGAAGGTAAAGTGAATTTTTTTCATTTTGGCTTTTGGCTTCAAGAAAAAAACTCTCCGTTTTGCCTTATAACTGTGTTTCCCATACCAACCATACCAGAGACAAAGAAATTTAAATTGAGAAAATAAAACCCTACTTATGGAAATAAGCAGGGCATTGCAAATATTTCCTTCTATAAACTCGTCACTTAAAACAAATATATTTAGGGACCCCTGGGTGGCACAGTCGGTTAAGCTTCCAACTCTTGGTTTCTGCTCAGGTCATGATCTCACAGTTCCCCTGAGTCTGAGCCCCGTGTCAGGCTCTGTGCTGGCAGAACGGAGCCTGCTTGGGATTCTCTCCTTCTCTCTCTCCACCCTCCCCTACTCACACTGTCTCTGTCTCTCTCAAAATAAATAAACTTTAAAAAATAATAAAGAAAAATTAAAAACTAAAACAAAAATATTTATATTTGAAATTCATATAACAAGGAAGACTTTGATCTGGGTTTTTGTTTTTAACTTTAAATAGAAAGAAAGGGAAGGAAACACTTTTCCCCTTTTATGCCTATCGTGGATGCTCTTGGCGGTTTCGCCCATGTTCCTTCTGCTTACCCCAGCGGTCACCTGCACGCGGGTGGACAGTCAGACGGCACATGCCTTCTCTCTCCCTGATGTCTGTCTCTGGATGCAGAATGAGCATTGCTGGTCCAGTACAGGCTGGAAAGGCCCAAAGGTTAACATAGTGAGACACTTCCGAGTTGTGTTCTCCGTGGTCTCAGGGGGCCCGGCAGGATTGAACTCCAGTTTGCCACAGCAGTGGCCTGCTCATCAGTGCACCTTTTCTTTTCTTGTTTTCCTAACTCCTTCACCACGCTTCCTGGGCTCACCAGCTCATTAACTACACGCACCCACATCATGGCCGCAGGGGTATGCGGTGGCGGAATCCACACTAGTACAGTGACCTCCCCTGCTGCATACACACAGATGTGTATTATTCGCAAAATACCACAGTGAAAAAAGCCAAGACAGGTCCGGGGCATTTTGGTTTTACTGCAACCATAAAGCCTGAAATTCCCCTTGTGGGCTTTGTCTTTGTAGAAATAGAAGTCCAGTGTAGGGAAATTGCCTTAGTAAGGAAAGAGGGCCCTTCCACTCCCTGCTTAAATCCCTGCAAGAAAATGTGAAGTGGGTGCTAAAAGCTAGTTGTGCCAATTGATTTTCTAATTGGATAGGAAATAGTGTATTAAGATTCCATACTTGAAGAACCAAGAATTAGAAATATATTTGACAAAACATGTTCCTCCATTAGGAGTTGTCTTTTTTCTTTTCTAGCGATCAATTTAATCAACTATTTTTTGATTCTTTCAAGTGCGTGTGAGAGGCAGAGACACCAGTGAGTATCTCAGTATTTTATACAAAACAGGTCCCGGTCCAGGAGGTGATATATGCGAAGTGTAGGGGCGGGAGCAGTAAGGTAGTCTGCACTTTGACCATCAATCACATGTAAATTTCAACCCCTGGCCACAACTTTGCATCAGGAGTCAATTTATTCCAACCTGATGGCAATGGAGGGGCAAAGAAAAAAGGCTGTTTTATATTGGCATGATGAAAATTACAAAATAAATCTCAAATGTATTCACCTGAACTCTTGGTCACAAACAAGTCAAATGTGCTAACTACAGCATGTGACTAATAGCACTTTATGCACCAAGTGATGTTGGTAAAGTCATGTTTTTATTTCCCTTTAATAGAAAACTATTTCCAGGTCAATTATTCATATCCTCAGGTAGTAAATTTATGAAGTTTATTAATCATTAAACTAAAGAAAAAGGATTTATCTGCCCCAAGTTTCAGAATAAGTGCTTTTCTTTAAATTGCCATATATTCTAATATCTAATCCCTGTCTGGAAATCCACACATCTCCTACTTCATTGCATTTCTGAGTCCCAAAGTTTCTTTACACACAGAAGTATAATAACATTAATAGTGAGGCCTTCTGCCTAGTGTTTTACATGTACTGTTTTATTTAGTACCTGTTAGATTGTGATATCATGATAATGATACACGTTGTACAGATGAGAATGCTGACTCTTTAGGGAGTTTATCCACATTCTGATCTGACTGAAAAATCAAGCTCTTCCATATGGTATCAGCCAGCTAGTGCTGCCTAACAAGCAATCACAAGGTCTCAGTGGTATACAATGCTAAATGTTTATTTTTCACACAGCCACATATTAGGCAAAGTGGCTCAGCTGCTTTTGGTTGGGCTTAACTAGAGGGCCCCAAGCTGTGGGTGGGATCCAGCTCTGCCTCACACATTCTTTAACCTGTTCGGGGCATTGGACAGACCAGTTGGCCTTTGGTCTTCTCGCAGTGATGACAGAAAGGGCATGCAAAGTTACATGGCAGAGGAGTGTGGGTACAGGGAAGGGTGAAAAACT